TAAGAAGTACAAGGAAGCCTTAATATTGAAAGACAATACAGTTGTTATGACTGCCACATTGAAGCTGAATAATCTATATGAAATAAATACTAAAACCACAGTGCAAATAGAGTGTAATTTAGCACAGTCAAGTTTGAAAATCTGGCATGAACGTTTGGGAAATTTAAACTTAAAGGAAGTGCAAAATATCAGCAAGAATGGTGCAATACCAGTGAAGTTAACAGATGACATCAACTTTGTGAGGCTTGTCAATATGGCAAACGGAATCGCTTGCGATTTCATAAATCCTGTAGAAGAAAATGTGAACCTGGCGACCTAACCTACAGTGATGTATGTGGACCTATGGAACATCCATCTGTATCTGGGGCAAGATATTTTGTCTTATTTAAAGATGGTGCCACCAGTTATAGACATGTGTTTAAAATAAACCACAAAAGTGAAGTCCTGGATTGCTTTAAGAAATACAATGCAATAGTAAAAAATAAGTTTGGACATGGCACTCGTATATTTTACACAGACAATGGACGTGAGTACGTCAATAATAGACTTAAATCTTATTTGGATGGTGAAGGAATAGCTCATGAACGCACAGCGCCCTACACACCGGAACAAAACGGTAGAGTGGAAAGAGAGATGCGCACAATCATGGAGAGTGCAAGATCTATGTTGTACTCTCGTGATATCCCATTAAACCTCTGGGCTGAAGCAGTAAACTGTGCAGTTTATTTATTAAATCGGAGTTCTTCTACCCAGACAGAAGACGTATCCCCATATGAGCTGTGGAATGGACAGAAGCCAGCCCTTCAACACATAAGAGTATTTGGTTCAGAAGGGTACGTTCATATACCTGATGAAAGTAGAAGAAAACTAGATAAAAAGAGTGTAAAACTAATATTAGTAGGATACGAAAATGAAAATTATAGAATGTTTGATATTAAAAGTGTCAAAAAGGATCAAGTACTCACTATAAACTGATGATGTCAAGTATAAAACTAAATACTTGTTGGGTTTAATAGGTTAATTTTGTTGGAAAATAGTAGGTTGGTTTGAGCCCTAATTTAAGTTTACTATTGTAATAATTCTAAAATTTAAGTGAGAGTGTTGAGTGATAAATTTTATAACGCGTTGCATGCAGTGTGGGTGGTTACATCTCCTTGCCGCTTGGTGCGTGGTTGTATCAATAGCTTATATGAATAATTTTTATCACAATATATACATTTTTTAGTTGATTATATAAAATAAAGTAAATTAGAAATCTTACTCAATTTTCTAATATTTCTTCACCCATGACAATAGATGTGATACACCGCTGTTAAACGAGCCTCGCCGTAGCGCAACTCCAACCGTTTTACCAACCAACCAATTCTTTCGAGGAGAAGTTGTTCAAAATGTCACATCCATCTCCAGAAAGCGCAACGGTCAACGCAGTGGCTTTTTCTTCAGGCGCCCAGTTATTCGCCTTAGCAGCCGCCTCGAATTGCTTGTGGTATGTGGTCCATGAAGACTTTCCGTCAAACGTTGCTGGTTNCAGTCAAACGTTGGTGGTTTTACTCATGTTCTTGACTCTATACCGCTTCCTTGGCTGGCTTCGTTGAGTGTACTAGATGCGCCAACATCCCCTTCGATTGTTTTTGTTTTTGCTTTAAAGATCAATTCTTCCACCACTTTTATCTTCTCTTCTGTTTCTTGAATATTCTTATTAATTTTTCTTCCTATTTATTTTCCAAACTTTTACTGTTTTCTTCCAATTTATTTTCCAAACTATTACTGTTTTCTTCCAATTCACCTTTCAACTTTTGACTATTTTCTTCGAATTTTTCTTTCAATTTATTTTCCAAACTATCACAGTTTTCTTCCCATTCACGTATCAAACTTTTACGATTTTCACCTAATTCACGTTTCAAACTTTTACTATTTTCTTCCAATTTATTTTCCAAACGTTTCATATTTTCTGCCAATTTATTTTCCAAATTTTAACTGTTTTCTTCCAATTCACGTTTCAAACTTTTACTATTTTCTTCCAATTCACGTTTCAAACTTTTACTATTTTCTTCCAATTCACATTTCGAGATTTGCGACAATTCGTCTTCGAAAAGGAACGTTTCAGGATCATGACTATCGTTTTTCAACGCTTGCGCGAGCTGCCACTAAAGTTCCGCTAAAATTCCGCAACTGGTTATTCCTCGAAACTAGGTTAGAGAGGTGTTCCAGTATCTTCATGATGGATCATCTGGTGACCATTTTGGAGTAAATAAGACGCTTGGGAAAGTTCGAGAGTGATTTTATTGGGCGGACTGTAAGGAGGATGTCAAGAATTGGTGTCAGAAGTGTACCACCTGTGCCGCGAGTAATGGACCACAGAAGGGGCCAAGGGCGTCAATGCGTCAATACAATGTCGGTGACCAGTTCGAACAAATCGCAATTGATGTGGCAGGTCCATTCCCAGAGTCCGAGAAAGGTAACAAGTACATCGTGGTCGTTCTGGACTATTGTACCATATAGGTTGAAGTCTATGCCCTTCCGAACCAAGAGTCGGAGACCATAGTTGAGGAGCTGGTGAAAGAATTGATCAATCGATTTGGGGTGCCCTTGGAGTTGCACTCAGACCAAGGGAGGAATTTCGAATCGGCTATATTCCGTGGAATATGCGAGCTCCTGGGAATAAAGAAAACTCGAACTACTCCAATCCATTCGCAATCGGACAGCATGGTTGAACGAATGAGCCGAACCTTGATTAAATATCTCTCGAAGCTAGTGTCTGATCACCAAAGAGACTGGGACCGCTATTTGCCTTTATTTTTAATGACATACCGACATACCGTTCATCTGTCCACGAAACGTGTGTGTCGTACCTGCGTTCCGGGAAAGCAATTAAACAGTTCCAAAAGACGAAACTTTTCCGGACGGATCGAGAAAGTTCCAGAAAGGACACAAAAGAGTGTATAAAGGAAGAAACGATCGCCGAGAGGAGGAGAAATAAATTGACCGTTGCAGAAGTAAATCAAGAAATAAATTAACAGTGATAGAAGTTAATAAAATAGTGAACAGTAGTGTATATAAATAGAATAATTACCGTTTAGTTAATAATTAAATAGTGTTTTTAAGTTCAACAATAATTAGTGTAAATAAATAGTTTTCTTCTTAAAAATTAATTTGTTAAACCCACGAGCATTACAATATGTTACATTTGACTGCTTTCATAGCACAATTTTTGTTCCTTCCTATCCAACCGTACATTCTTTATTACGAAAATTATAATTGTCACCCTTCCTTTTCATTGCGCTCACCAACTAAAGACTTTTCCGACAATAAGGACTCTCATTCACAATATTCCACTGCATTCCTTCCCCGCCTCTTGTCCATCCCTTTGCAACAGTTTTCCACTTCCTTAGCATTTCCTCTCATTAGCAGTACTACCAAATCTAAAATACAATTTACGTCATTTCTCCAAAAATCCCATCAAAATTACCATGTGTACTACAGTTCCTCTTCATCCCTTCAAATTTCCCACTTACGCCACATTTAAGCTGAACAAATCCAATCACTTAGATAATCTTCTGTTTTGTAACAAACACAACCGAACTGGGAAACACCTCTGTGAAAATGATAATAAGACTAACCAGCTTTACTCCTATGTTACAGACCATACAGACTTTCTTTTCATCAGCGACAAATAGTGCAAGATATTCTCAATAACCTTTTCAAGAATAATGTGTCATCCATCCAACTGCTTCTGATTACACAAACCCTATATTACTCGTTAAATAAAATAAGTGATATGCGTCTATACTTTGATTATCGCATTCATATGCAAGGAAATGGAGCACTTCTTGCAAAAGAAGGAACATTAAACACGTAAAAAAACGATATCGCTTACACCTGCAGCAACGATAAAGTTGACCGCTTCAACTATACTATCATATACACACACCCACACACACCCACACACACACACACACACACACACACACCTATACAGGTCCACGTATTTTTGTGGCATCCCAACCTACACACCCAACTGTGGCACTTTTGTTGTCGGCCCCTGTACGCATACTACTAAAAATTACGAATTTAATGACACACNTACACAAACACACACACACACACACACGTCATAGACGTCGCTGTTACTGTTACTGCAGTTATGATTGGTTGTAGGGGATATTTATTGAGCATGTGCGTTTTGTGCGTGCGTGCGTGTGTGTGTTGTGTGTTGTGTGTTGTGTGTTGTGTGTTGTGTGTTGTGCGTTGTGCGTTGTGCGTTGTGCGTTGTGCGTTGTGTGTTGTGTGTTGTGTGTTATGTATTGTCTGTGTCTATCTTGTGTGTTGTGTATTTGTGTGTCGGGGGAGGATGGATGTATGAACACTAGGTTATGATGATGAGGTAGGCGTCTTTTTTTCGCGAAGCCGGGTTCGAACCGAGTACGAGTGCGAGAGTATGACGACCGATCACGACGTTAACGCGCTAGGTCACCGACTCGGCCCGTTTGATCAATGCCTAAAAGCGGTTGATGCAAGTGGTGTGCGTATGTGCGAGTGTACCATGTCGCTAGCCGACGTCGCTGTGGCTCGTCGCACCAGAACCACAGCCGCCGTCGGCTTAGAATTTCATAACATACATGTATACGTATAGTAGTTGTAGTGCGTAACATACCTACACACATGCATACATACATAAAAAATCAATGGTTGTTATTCGAATCGAATAAGACGACCGCCTGTTATGTTAACTATTAAGTTACGTATCAGCCGAAGAAAATGCAGTCGCGTTAAGGTCCATTAGATGATAGTTAACCTGTTAGAAAAACTACGTACCTATCACAATGAAAACTGTGCTCCAGTGTGTAAACGGCAAATCATTGTTTATCAACAAATGTGAATTGACATTGACATTGATAGGGGAGCGTTCAAGTATTACGTAACGCAATTTGGGGGGGCGGGGGGTCTCGTAAAACGTTACGATGCGTTACACGGGCGGGAGGGGGTCCTTCTTACAACACGTTACGTAACATTATTTCTTTTTTTATATAAAAAAATAGGGAAATAAAACTCCCAAATTGGCAACCCTTTTCGTTTACGTTTTACGGGGAATCTCTCGATTGTATTAGTCTGGTCGCCATTTTTAATTTGTTCTCGCATGTTGGTAAACCTTTTCGTTTATATTTCACGGGGAATCCCTAGATTGTATTGTACGTCATTTAATGTTGTTTTTGTTGTCAGTATTCGTTAGTGTTTATGCAGAAGCAAATTGCTGTAGTCGCTGTTATTAAAGTGAGTTCATAGTGTTCATACTGTAATGTCCTCAAAAGAAGGAGATTTGTATTATCAGCTGTTCTTGGCCTATAAAGGCTCTCATGCTGACTTGCCAGCGCAAGTATGTCAAAAAAATGCCAATGAAATTTGGAAAACGGCTAAAGAAAAACTAAAAAACAAAGAAAAGTTTATAGAACATATAAATGATGTTATACGAGAGTTGAAGGTGAAGGCCACGAAGAAGAAAGCAACAATGCTTAGTTATTTTACACAAGTAAGTTTACTACTAAAATGTAATAATGACATAAGTATTATATTTAGTCCAAACCTTGATTTTTCATAAAAGAACTGGTCATAAGTATTTTATATTTCTAGCTACCTATGCAAACATCAAGCACGCCAGCAACACTATGGCCCAATGCTCCCTCGACTTCGCGTGCTCCTCAACAAAAACAGGTGCATCTGCTTATATGTGTTGTATATTATGTTCTTTTTTATCGCATGTGTCAATAATACCTATTCTTAATTAATTTTCTCTTGGTCTATAGGATTCGAATGTTGTAGCTTCATCCACGTGTTCATCTCTCATGGAATCGATTGTCGCAGTCGCTGGACATGAAAGCACTGCCGTCAAACGAAAGATGAGCGATATCCACGAGGAGCAAAGTCAGAATACTGATGGGGAAACTGTGGAGACATCGTCTACGGAACCAGACAAGACTTTGGTTGATTCGGTCATCACTAAAAATGTTCCAAGCAAACCGGCTCAAGAAACTCTTATGAAGAAAATTGGTCTACTGCAACAAAAAATAAATGTTCTCACTGAAGCAAGGGACACTGGTATAGCCAAAGATGATGTTCATGACGAAATAAAAAAGCTACGCAAAGAGTTGAAAGAAGAAGAGAAATGTTTGAAGAAAAAAAGAGACTCTGCTAAGCGTGCAAAAAAATTTCGAGCCAAAGAAAAACTGGAGAAAACTGAACGTCAGAGAAACAATCCTGCTGCAGCACAACCTCGAACTGGCCCTGGACAGCCCTCTTTAGTTGACTCGCAACCTGCTCTCCTAGAGACCATAATTAATATTGCCATTCATGGCAGCGCTGCTGATGAACGCCGCCGAACAGAGATGATTAGGAGTTGTCTCACTCTGTCCGACCTGCATGAAAGGCTGTTGTTAATGGGATTCCAAATTTCTCGAAGCGGCACATATCTTCATTTACTCCCACGCGTTTCTAACACACAAGAGGGAAGAAGACACGTACGTACTGTACCCGTAAAGTTAGCAAGACCACAGACCGAGATGCACAAAAAACACGAGGACGGGGAATTTTGCACTGCTACAATCAGGTCATTGGAATCTCTCGCTTCGCTTCTGGGACCGCAGCAAGTATTCGTTCTCTCACAAGACGATAAGGCACGTGTACCGATAGGTTTACCGGCAGTAAAAAGTCAGAGCCCTCTTTTAATGCATATGGAATACAGAATACTTTTACCTGATCATGACTGGGTCGTGGCAGAGCGGCACAAACTTATTCCTTCTGTATACGCCGGCGTCAACGTAGAACCTAACAATTTCGGTAGGGAAGAAGCTGTTGGGTACAGCGGGCCGACACACATATCCATAAGGAGCGGGAAACACTCATCCTCCACAGCGAACACCCACGCTTATGATTTCGAATCACTTTTATCAATACCTTCATTCAAATCCTTAATGATGACAGAATCGAACACCGTGAAGCCAGTAATCATCATCTTTGTAGATGGTGGGCCGGACGAAAACCCGCGTTATCGCAAAGTCAAGAACTTTGCGATTGAACACTTTAAAAAATACAACCTGGACGCCCTGTTTATAGCGACTAATGCTCCTGGGCGGAGCGCATATAACCGAGTTGAGCGTCGCATGGCTCCCCTCAGCAAACGACTGGCAGGCGTCATTTTGCCTCATGAACATTTTGGTTCTCATCTCGACGACAAAGGAATGACTACGGATGATGATTTGGAAAAACGCAATTTTCAGCACGCTGGGGAAACACTTGCAGAAGTGTGGAGAGAAATGAAAATTGATAATTATGACGTTTCGGCGGAGTATAGACAGCCCGAAGATAGCATGCAGGATCCAGCAGAACCAAATCTGGCGTGGTATAGCGTTCACGTCCGTGAATCGCAATATTTCTTACAGGTTATAAAATGCGCAGATGAATCCTGCTGTTCACCACCGAGAAGTGCATTGAAATCTGTGTTTACGGATACTTTCATGCCGCCACCTTGCCCAATACTTCAAACCCCAAGCAAGCTCGTAGTACCCAGTTTGTTAGACAAAGGAAAATCCAAGTTTTCGCCACTTCTTGTAAGGTTGTCCGTTAATCTGTCACCTCCTCTAGAAGGGTTTAAGCAGATGCCTTACGATTTCTTTTGTCCATCTGTACAATCCGACCTAAAGAAAAAAGTATGTCCAACCTGTGGGATCTATTTCACATCTCACAGGAGTGTTCAAATGCACTGTCGTTACGTGCATGGCAAGACTGTCCAAGACCATTGTGAAACTAGAGTACGGCCACAGCGCCTTGCTGCCAGAAGGGCAAATGAGCTTCTCTGCATTGTGCGTCGTTATGAAACATCGTCTGAGGATGCTGACTGGCTCGACGAAGACGAAGTTGATGCAAGTGGCTTAACAATTCCAGAACCGTCTTCGTCTGCACTCCAGGTGCCAGTGATGAAAGAATCTGAGTGGCTAGCAAACCCGTGGACAGAGGAGCAGTAATTTCAATCGAATTGTTTTTATAGACCTACTTAGATACTTGGTTAATAGTTGATTATTTTTTAATTTTGTTAAGAATACGATTTTATTTCGAGTAAAATGTTTAATTTCAGTTGGGTTTCTGTTTATAATTGCATTGCCAAAGGTTAAAATAAATATGTTATTTTATTTGAAGAATTTATTAGTAAAAAAGCTAAAATACTTAGGAGAATGAAGGAGAAAAACAATTGTGTTTTGTAAAGCCAAAAATTTATAAAAAAATAAACAAAATACGCAGGTGTTGCGAATTAAAAATCTCTTGTTTTATTATAAGGCAATTAAAACTATACGAAGGATAAAAACTATAACAACTTTTTGCGACTTCAGGGTAAAAATGATGACTTGAGTGTTACGTAACCTTTAGAGAGGGGGGTGGGGGGGGTACAGAAAAACGTTACGGAGCGTTACAGTGGGGGGAGGGGGGGGGTCAAAAATCTTCAAAAATTGCGTTACGTAATACTTGAACGCTCCCTAGAGTGTTTGACAAAAACTAGCGGAAATGAATTATTTTTGTTGACAAGATGTACATTTTTGTCTACGATATCAGTTTTCACCCAAAAGTCGGAAAAAGAACGATTAATTGCCTACATGGACAGTAAGTGTAAGTGTAAAGTAAGTGACAGCGTAGGCCCCAATAATCCCATGATCGTACAACGGAAGTGGTCCTAATGTAGCACACGACATTATGTTATTTTAAATAAAAAAGAAATTATAGGTCACCCAGCTTAGTAACATGGCGTACTAGTGTACGAAAATAAATGTATGTGTTCTGGTTGTAACAGTTGAGACAAGATGAAGACCTACTTTGACCAATCACATGTGTTAAATTGCTCATTCCAGCATCACTTTTGCTGCCTGACACTCCTATTACACTTTTACAGAAGATGGAGCGTTTAGAAAGTGTTATGGTAAGTGCCCATCGTGTGCACGAAAAGATTGCGGGACTGACGTCAGCTTCGGAGAGGAAGTGTGATGCTCGCGGTAACGTGGGTACAGAGCTAGCCCAAGTGCGAAAGTGCAGGACCATTCTTGAAGTCGAGGTGGCTCGTCTTCAAGAAGAAATCCTGCAGCTGACGGAGAAAGTGACGCAACTTGTGGAAGACGAGATATTGCGTCTCAAAGAAGACGTCTTAGAGCATGAGATGGAAACGAAGCGTCCGAGGTACGAATAGCTCTGTATGAGTCGGCGGAGAATTGGTACTACAGTAAAAAATAGAGAGAGCACATTAACTTTAAACGAAGAAAGATGAAGACACATGATTTTTTGTGATTGTATCTTCCTTAGGAAACCCTGTATATAGGTACGCGAGGGATAAAAAACGAGAGTTAAGAAGAAAATCCGCTGAAAACATTATACGGAAATGGTTACTAGGGGAGGCGCTAGAGATGGGTGGAGGGGGTCGTGGGCGTTGTGTGAATACAGCTATTGTGTCTTTGTAAAATCGCTCAGGTTGACAGGTTGATTACGGATCCAGTTTATAGTTGTAGAACTGCAGTTTTATGGCATACATTTTCGATCTGAGACCGATAAACTCCTCAAAAATTTTACCACTATTATCATCTTTCATTAAACCAAGCACTTTCTTATTTGTTAAAGGTATGTGGTATATATTGTTTTCAGGATAGTCTGATGTATCGAATATATGCAGGTCGCTCTTTATGTGTTGGTAAATGTCGTCTACAAAGAATTGGTAAATAAGTGAATCTGTATCAGTGTAAAGTAGTTTAGCCGAATGAGAAAATTTCCTTTGAATATAANGATGATATTCTCAATAACCTATCTTCACGCGTGTCTGAGGTGTGATACACCAAAGCACGCAACGAATCTACAGCTTCTATGCGTTGAAGGAGAATAAAATGAATAATCGAAATCATCGTTAGAGGACGTGACACGTCGATTTATGACATTTTCATGAACCTTACCTTATTTAGTTTCTAGGCAGTAGTTAACCAAAGTACTAGAGGATCCTAATGCTTCTCTGCATGTAAAGGGAATAAAGTGAATGGTCTAATTTGTCGTTAGAGGACGTGATCCGTCGATGGATGACATTCTCATGTACTTATCCTTACGCGATTCTGTGGTGTGAAACACCAAAAGACTCGACGAATCTACAGCTTCTGTGCGTGGAAGGAGGATATAATGAATGACCGAAATAGTCGTGAGAGGACGCAATAAGTCGATTTATGACATTTTCATGAACCTTACCTTATGCGTTTCTAGGCAGTAGTCCACCAAAGTACTCGAGGAATCTGTTGCTTCTCCGCATGTAAGGAGAATCAAGCGAATGGCCTAAATCGTAGTTAGAGGAAGTGATACGTCGATTGATGACTTTCTCATGTACCTATCCTCACGCGATTCTGTGGTGTGATACACCAAAAGACTCGACGAATGTACAGCTTCTGTGCGTGAAAGGAGAATAAAATGAATGATTTAAATCGTCGTGAGAGGACGTAATACGTCGATTAATGGCTTTCTCATGTACCTATTATTCTTTGTTTCTGAGCAGCGGTACACCAAAGAGCTCGACGAATCTACAGCTTCAATGCGTTGAAGATGAGTTAAGTGCATTGCCGAAATCATCGTTGGAGAACGTGATGCGTCGATTTATGACATTTTTGTGAACCTTACCTTATGCGTTTCTAGGCAGTAGTCCACCAAAGTAGTTGAGGAACCTGCTGCTTCTCTGCATCTAAGGAGAATTAAGTGAATAGTCTTAATTGTCGTGAGAGGACGTAATACGTCGATTTATGACATTTTCATGGACCTATCTTGCAGCGTTTCTGAGCAGTTATTCACCAAACTACTCCACGAATCTACAGCTCCATGCGGTGAAGGGGTATTAAATACATAGCCGAAATCATCTCCGCATGTAAGGAGAACCAAGCGAATGGTCTAAATCGTCGTTAGAGGACGTGATACGTCGATTGATGACTTTCTCGTGTACCTATCTTGACGCGTGTCTGAGATGTAATACACCAAAATACTCGACGAATCTACAGCTCTTTACGTTGAAGTAGTACTGAATGAATGACTGAAAACGTCGTGAGAAGACGTAATACGTCCATTTACGACATTTTCATGAACCTATCTTGCCGCGTGCCTGAGGTGTAATACACCAAAAGACGTAACGAATCTACGGCTTCTGCGCGTGGATGAAGAATAAAATGAATGATCCAAATCGTCGTGAGAGGACGTTATACGTCGATTAATGACATTTTCATGAACAGTGGTTCACCAAAGAACTCGACGAATCTACAGCTTCAATGCGTTGCAGGAGAATTAAGAGAACGGCAGAAATCATCGTTGTTGGAATATACAACATCATTTTTTAATAGTAACTAATACTTACGCTCGGACAAGGATGCTTACTGTCACCGCTACTTTTTTGTCTAATACATCGAAAACGTGATCAACATCATTAAAGACAGTACAACTTTAGGGATAGATATAGAGGGGCAAAAGATTAGTATGCTTAGATTTGCAGATGATGTAGCAGCAGGGGTTGGAGATAACTTAAAATAGACTAATCAAAAATTGATTATGAACACTATGTAAAACATTTATTCTGCTCTGTCCCTCAATACGTCCTCTGCAAAATAGCAAAGTTGCTATCCATGGCTGCTGCCCAACTTCGCCACTGACACGAGTTTCATGTGTTATATAAATAACGTATAAATGCTTGACTTGAATAATGGGAAATGTCAAATACATAAATTATTTCGAAATATTAGGAAAATGTAATGCAATAACAAACATGTGCTTAATCGATCTTCGCTTCGAAAGAAAGGCTTGCCGCTGTAATTAACATAACTGAACATCCTATCACTTCGTAAAACATCTACACTTCTAAACACAATCACTTATGCGTACGTGTTAATAAAATTGAAGGTCAAAAGGAACTACTAGTGTGCACACTAATGAACTTAAAGATAGGCTTGTAATCTGTTGTAGTTGTGGTTTTATATTAAAAGGAATTTCAGAATCTCCACAGAGAGATCAACCCGTAGGTTTTACATCCCAGGAAAGAGATTTACGGAAAATATTGGAAAAAGGGAGGGGTGGGAGAAAAGTGGTGGAGAAACAACCGGTGGCCCACTTCAGATGGGACGAAAGTCATTTACCTACTTGTCATGGTCCGAAATGCTAAAGATAACTGATTCCGCCCGAATTTGCGCTCACTAAACGCAAGGACTGCAAACAGATCATCATCATCATAAGGTCCTCAGTCCTAAGACTGGTTGGATACGCACCTTCACTCTGTCCTATCCTGAGCTAATCTTCGCATTTCCCTAAAACTAGAACAACCCATATCCTTAACTATTTGCGAACAGTAATCTAATCTAGGTCCACCTCTACCCTTCCTAACTTCCATTTCTGTCTCCAATATGTCTCTGAGTAGATCTTCATGCTTGAGAAGGTGACCTACTAACCTATGCCGCTTATTTCTTATTGACCATTCATTAAGTTTACCTGAACATTTCGGGAGACAGTTTACCAACAGCGATTTTTCGTAATGCCATCTCATAAGTAATATCATTATCATCATACGGTCATCAGTCCTAAGACTGGTTGGACACGCACCTCCACTGTTTCCTACCCTGAGCTAATCTTCGCATTTACCCAAAACTAGAATTATCCACATCCTTAACTATTTGCGAACAGTATTCTAATCTACGTCTACTTCAACTCCTTGTAACTCCTGTTTCTGCCTCTAATATATCTCTGACTAGACCTTCATACATGAGAAGGTGTCCTACCAATTTATCTCGCCTATTTTCTATTGACTTCCACAGAGTCCTCTGTTCTCCTATTCTTTCTAATACCTCTTCATTTCTAACCTTCTCTATCCACGGTATCCTCATCATTCGCCTACAACACCACATTTCGAACGCTTCTAACCTTTTATTT